CTGCCCTACGGGACAGGTGCCCTCCACTCCACGACAAGCTCAGGCCGCCCGTTCACCCTGTAGGGTGAGCATAACCCCGCAATGCTGGTCGTCTGCATTTAATGTTATGATGAGGTGTGAGGCTGTTGGGGCCCTGGGGGGAGGAAATTCTGTCCCCAGCCTTTCCACAGAAGCGGACTCCAGCCCGCCGGTTCCCACACTCCCTTCGTGGGCTTAGGCGTCTGGCACGCTGCCCCCTGGCTGGCTGTGGCCCTGGGCGCATGGCACCGCGTCCTTGCACTAGACCGGAATGCAGGCTGGTGGGGGCTCTGGGCCCAGCAGGCGGGCCCTTCTGCCTCAGTGCCGCTAGGTACATGTCCCCTCTGTGGTCCATCCCACCCAGGGCTCCAGCTGACGGCCCTCAAACCCTCCTCTACCTCCTCACAGTGGACAGAAGCTGCACGGAAGCCAGGAGGCTGCAGAGCCTGGTGCAGGGGCATCGGGGCACGGGCTTCCCTCCCAGGGTGACTTTTCTTGCCTATGAAACAGAATTGTTCCCTCGTACAAAGAGAACATTAGTCATTCTCCACGTTGACCCCACGAAGCATTTCCTTCTGTTGTACAGACACGGGGAAGCAGAGCTGGCCTTCGGAAGCTGAACGGATGGGGAACGAGTCCATCTTTGAGCAATAAACCCGGCCCCTCGTCAGGCCCCTTGAAACGGACATGCGGCTGAAATGACCAGCAGCCCAGGCACAGTGTCCAGGGCAGCTTACGGCGGTCACATCCCAGTCCTGTGGCGTTCTGGAGGTCGGAATTGTCCGGGGCTCCCGGAGACCAAGTGGGTGGGGGCAGCAATCAGAAATGCTGCAAGACCCTTGCCCTCAGATGGCCAGCAAACGCCTTCATCTTAAAAAGATAGAGGGGGTTGGGGCTCCATGGGGCAGGAGCAGGGCTGGAGTTGGCTCTGAATCATCTCGAGGGCAGGAGGTCTCCAAAGCCAACATCCATAAAATACCAGCCTCTAGATCAATGGTCTGCTCCTTGTGCCCTGGGGCTGGGCTGTGTCTAGCAGAGAAGCTGAGAACACCCGCCTGTGGTAGGGCTCCCTTCCCTGCACCTCTGCCCACGCTCTCCACTGCCCTCAGCACCCACACCCCTCCTGGACAAGGGCGACCCTACAAACTGGCCCATAGGCTCCCTCGAGGCCGTGGGAAGCGAGAAGGAGGGGCAGATTGGTCAGTCCCCGCAGGGGGGACAAAATATGAGTACGGTCCCCCAGGACCCCCACTCTGAGGGAAGGTGAGAGAGTACAGGGTTGGCCTTCAACGGTCAAAGCCTGGCTCCCCAGCTGGTGTAGACCACTTGCCCAAGGTTCCTGTGCCTCAGTTTCCCCACTCACAAAGGGGAGAAAAATAGCCACCTCCAAAAAATAAGCAGGGTACTTCCCGACGGCTTGGCCCCTACAGTCCAGGTAAGGCCATTGTGCTCACCGCTGTCCTCAGGGCCTGGCTCTGATGACCAAGGGCTTGGGAGGCCACGTGTCCCCTGACAGGCAGTAGACAGGAGACTCAGCTTCCCCAGGAAACTGGAAAATGAAAAGATGACCCAAAGCAGCTCAGCCTGGCCCCCATCCCGCCTCAAGGCCACTTGAGAACTGCGAAAGAGGCTGCTGGGTGGAACGCCCTCTGTGGTCCTCGCACAAAGACCCTGGAGGGCTGCTTCCCACAAGAGTACTGGCCCCCCAGACCCGGACTCAGCAGAGCTGCATGTGTGCATGCATATGCAGCTATGGGAGAATCTGCATTCCCGACAAGGCCCCGGTGTGATGCAAGCTGCTGCTGAGAAGCCGGGCTGCCAGAACTCGGCCCTCCTCTGTGTGGTCCGTCCCAGAGCCCAGCGCCGGGAAGTGCACGCATGCACCCCACGCCAGGCACAAAGGACTTGCCCATCAAGGGTAAGGTAGGGAGGTGATGAAATCGACTGTTGTGTGTTCTTACCTGGGGGTCCTCTGCACCCACAAGATCAGGGCCTGGGGGCTGCCCTTGGCCATCACAGCCCAAGTCGCTCACTCCCCCTACAAACCCTAAGGAGCACCAGCAGGGACTGGGCCTCCCTGTCCTTCATTATATGAGGCTCACTTCAGTGAGAGGCAGATGGGACGCCATGGGCCTGGCAGTCTCTCTACTGCAAGACAAATCAAGCTCCTGACCAGACCGCAATTTGGGCAAAAGAAGGAGGATTATCAGATACGATACCGAACACCCAGATTTGTACTTCAAACAGACAAAGAATAATATTGGATATAAGTATATCCCACACAATATTTGAGCCCTACCTATACTGTGTGAAATTATTCATTTTTTATCTGAAATTCAAATTTAACTGAGCATTATCCTTTATTTTTATATGTTAAATCTGGCAACCCCACAAAGAAGGCAACACACCCCCCTGACTGATCAGGAGTGACCAGCCGCTGAGCCTGGCCTCCCAGGGCTCCCCTCCTCCCCTGGGCCAGGCTGAGCCCTGCAGGCGACATGGCGGAGACAGTAATAGTACCAGGTCAGGACGCTGTGAGCATCCGTGGAGCGGACCACACAGCCATGCCCAGTGGGCAGGACAAACAGGGTCATCACGGCAGTTCCTCATATGCCCTATGTGAAGAATTAGACTTTTTTTCAAAAATGCCATGACTGGCCCCCTGGCCAGGTGCCAAGGGAATGGGAAAAGCCTTGACTTGGTTCCCAGCTGCAGGTTTCTGAGAGGGGAGCGCTGGTTTAGGTCCAAACAGTGGGTGGGAGACGCCCCCTAGAGGTGTGATGGGTGGGCTGCAAGCCACAGCTAGCTCGGAATGGGAAATTTCTGCCAACCCAGCGGGCGGTCACTGGGTCCCTTGGGCACCTCACACCTCTGAGGCCCCTCAGCCCAGGAACGGGGATAACGCTGCAGCCCTTCATGTCCAGATGTGAGGACAAGGCCCAAGGAGGCCCATGGTCCAGCAGGTGGACGTGAGCCAGTGGGGCCCACAGCTGGCCTCCCAACTCTGAAAGCTGTGCTTTCTATGTCAGCATATTCCTTCGGTGTCTGGGGGGTGAGCTCCACTGTGTGCGCCAGAGAGGAACGGTCCACAGGGCAGTGCCAGCCAAGCCGGTAGGATTCCATTTCTGTCCCAGAGACTGTCAGAGTCGAGGACAGTGTGCCCAAGGGAAGGTAGACACACAAGGGCATGTCTGACCAAAGCCTTCCAAACTCTCCTTCCTCGGAATGCAGCTCTCACAACCAAGAACAGGCGTCCCCTTGGGAGTGGAGGACAGGTGCCCTTTGATAAGCAATGGCCACTACCTTCCAGAGATGACATCAGCATCCCAGGCGAGAAACTCCACTTGGGCAGAACCCAGAGCTGGTCTTGGGAATAATTTATCGTAGCCAAACTCATACAAGACTGATGAATAAACCAGGTGCTTTGTGCGTTCATTGGCCATGGGAGAGATCACTTTCCAGGGCCTCGGTGTTTCTCATCTGGGGTCCAAGCCCCCCATTGCTGGGATTAAGATACTTGGGAGGCCTACTGCATCTTTTGAAGGTGGCAGTGGGGGGACAGGGTATCATTCGGCCTCAGTGATCAAGAGAGTGAGTGGACAGTTGGTTCCTGGGTCTGTGAACAAATGGCCAGTGTCCTCCTGCTGTGGGCCAGATCAGCCCTGGCCCCCTGGGTCTGACTGACAAGCTGGCAGGGAAGGCGGATGCTGAACACGTTGTCACCACTGGTTTGCCATGACAGGCAGTGTGGGCCCTGTGGAACACTGGCTGAGTGGTAGGGCCGTGAGGGACCAAATGAGATCCTCTTGTGTGGGGGTCAGGGTAAGAAACCTCGCCACAGTCCCACAGTCAAGGACTGAGCGAGCAACTGATCCCCAGGTCCCTCCCCAGCCTGCCAGGCCTGGCCTGCTCTGGTCCCCCCGGACCCTCAACTGGGCTCCCCCTTGCAAGCCACCTCTGGCACCCAGGGCCACACGTGCCTCTCCAGCCGCCCCTCTGCCTGTGTCCCAGCCCTCAGCTCTCAGGTCCAAGGTCACCACCCCCGGACTCTCTCCTGACCCCCAAACAGGAGGGCCACATCTCCCGGGTGCCGGCGAGGGGACCCGTATCGCCAGCAGCCCCCGTGGCAGATAGGACTCTATCCCCCGGGCTGTCCCAGGGGCAGCGCTCCTTCCAAGGGGCAGCGCGCAGCAGTGTGGCACCAACAGTTCACTGGGAAGCCTGCGCGCGTGTCCGGGGCAGGCCCAGGCCCGCACCAGAGCGGCCCGCGGTCAGGGCGCCCGACCTTCAGCAGTACCCCCAGGAACGCGCCCTTATGGAGCCCAGTGCACGCAGGAGGAAACTAAGGCCTAAAGACGCTCTGCGCCTTGCCCAGACCAAAGTCCACACCCGGCGGGAAGCGAAGAGCGTTCCCCGCGGCGGGTCCGGGGCCCCAACACCGGTGGGCGTGGCCTGGGGACGGGGCGGGGCGCGGTCCGCGGGGGCGGGGGGGCCGGAGCCGGTGGCCCTGATTGGGTAATGCCTCGATTCCTCGTGGGACTTCCTCCAGGCCAGCTGCCCCGCCTTGGCCCCGCCCCCGCCGTGGCCCGGGTCGGGGGTGTAACCTCCAGAGGCCCGTGGTCACGGCGAGGTCGGGCCGGGCAGTGGAAGCCGCGGGGAGCCCAGGCCGGCAGGCGTGATCAGGTGCCTGCTCTTCTTCCTAAGCGCCTCAGTCGGCGAAGTGCGGCTGCAGTCCCGCCCCGCAGAGCGCACAGCTCGGACGCGCCGCACCGGGAGTCGCGCAGCCGGCGCCACCACCTCCCCACCAGAGCGCTTCCGCAGCCTGCCGGTGCCGACGGCGCTGCGCCGCGGGGCCCGGCCGCCAAGGGGCGCCGTGGGGACCACCCCTCGGCTGCGCCTGCGCCGGCGCCGCGCACGAGCCGGAGCGCAAACCCGCCGAGCGCGCGCCCGCCCCGCAAGTGCGCCTGCGCGGAGGCCGTGGCTGCGCCCGCTCCCGCCGGGGGCTCGTCGCTGCGCGGCCGGGCCATGGGGGAGGCCGAGGTGGGCGGTGGTGGCGCGCCGGGCGACAAGGGGCCGGGTGAGGCGGCCACCAGCCCAGCCGAGGAGACGGTGGTGTGGAGCCCCGAGGTGGAGGTGTGCCTCTTCCACGCCATGCTGGGTCACAAGCCCGTCGGTGAGCGGAGCGCCGCGGAGGCCGCGGACCCGCGTGGGGGCGGGGCGGACCGGGCAACGGCTGGGGGCGCGGGGCGGAGCCTCCCACGCCGCCCACCCACCTGCACTTCCTCCTCCCTTGGCGCGCGGCGACCCCTGCGCCCGCCCACCCCCTCTCCGCCGACCCTGGCCCCTCCAGCCCCCTGTCCCCTCCCTCCTTCACCCCCTCACCCCCTCCCCACCGACCCCCTCCTGCACCCCTCCTGTACCCTTTTCTGTCCCTTCCTGAGCCCACCCCCCACCTCCGCCAACCCTGCCCCCTTCTGCACTCCTGCTGTACCCCTCCACTGTCTGTACCCTCCTGCATCCCTCCACTTCCTAATATCCTTCCTCTGTCCCCTCCTGTGCCCACCCCTCCCACCCCCATTGCCAACCCCACACCTGCCCGTACTCTTCCAGCCCTGCTCCCTCCTCTACCCTCCCTCTGCATCTCCTACAGCCACCTTCCTGTCCCCATCTTTACCCTTCCCCCGCTGAGCCCTGCCTCCCATCTCTCTCCTCTCCTCTTACTTGCTAGCCCAGCCCTCCTCACAAGCTGACTCTTTTCTCCCACAGGTGTGAACCGACACTTCCACATGATCTGTATCCGGGACAAGTTCAGCCAGAACATTGGTCGGCAGGTCCCATCTAAGGTCATCTGGGACCATCTGAGCACCATGTATGACATGCAGGCGCTGGTGAGCAGATCCCAGACACAGCTCCTCCATGTGTTTGCGAGGCCCCGTCTTTAGGGGGCCCTCTGTCCTGTGCACATCCCAGGGAGCAGCAGGAATTAACAAGGGGGCTCCAAGTAGTTTCACTAAAAACCCAAACTCGGTGACAGTAGCTGGCTCCCCTCACAGAACCTCCTTCACACGGGGTGGTCAGTGACAGTCTCTCCAGGGAGGCGACCAGGGAGCTGAGGTCCGTGGGAGGAGGTAGAAGGCCCCAGAGTGCTCTAGGTAGGAAGGTGACAGGATCCAAGTCTGAGTCAGGTGAACCTGGTGGCTTCTGTGAAAACCGGGCAGGCAGGGTCCCCATCTTCACAGGACCCCAGCTAGTTTCATCCGAAGGCAGGCGGCTTCACTAGGTGACCACAAAGGCCCAAAGGAACAGGGATGTTCCTCGGAACAGCAGGTGTCAGGGCCCTGTGGCAGCAGGAGCTGGTGAGCCAAGGAGCTGAGGAGGCCAGGGCCCCTGGAGAGTGGGTGGGGGTGGGGGTTAGAGGCATGCAGAGGGGCAGGGGCTTATGCCGGGCTGAGGAAGGCTCTGCCTCCCTGGCTGACTCGGGGCCCCACCAGCCCTCCCAGCCGAGGCCGTCTTTGTCCAGACCCAGTGCTGCCCTTGCTTCCTGTTGGCTCTGGGCAGGTCACTTGCATCTCCTTGTCATACTCTAGAGACGGGATAAAGGTGACAGCTTTGCTCTGGGGACTGACTGCCTGGCCCACAGGAAGCATCCTGGGATCAGCGCAGCAAGGACCAGCTGCCAAGCTGAAGGAGCTGCTCCCCGTGGGGACCTCATCCCCACACCTGTCACATTATGGCGTCACCTGGTTCCCAGACTCCCCGGGCCCTGACTCTAGGCCAGTGGGGGCCGGAAGCCAGACACAGACGTGAGGGTAGCAGGGTCCCTGTCCTGGGGGAGCCCCTGGTACAGGCCGGGAGACAGACACTGACACCCAGCACCAGGCCCACGTGACCCTGGTGAGCCGCAGGGCACCACTTGGGGATTTCGGTCCGGGACAGGCAGCCCTTCTCCCCTCTTCTCCCCTCTTCTTCCCAGCTTCTCCCCAGCTATCCTTTGTTCAGAACTAGGCAAGACGTCAAGGCTGTCACTTCCTTAGACCCCTGTGCTTCTCCGGGGCTGCTGCCGGGGTCAGGCGGGACCCTGGCAGCACGAGTCCGTGGCCCCCACTGCTGGGGGACCTGCAGGCCCGGGAGCCGTGGGGTTTCTGAAGCTCCAGGAGATGTTGATAAGCACGTTTGCCGGCTAGCAGCTTGTTGTAACACAGCCCCCAGACTGCAGAGAGGAGCCGTGTCTGCTCAGTCACAGTCCAGACCCTTTCTGCCAGCACCCTTTCCCTTCCTTTGGGGGCCCTGTGTCTCCAGGGTCTCTGTCCCTTTTGGCCCATGAGACAAGTGGAACTCCAGTAAGCGCTTGGTGCCCCTGACACCACTTTGCTTTACCTGGTTTCCCAGGCGGAGGCTTGCCTCTCCAGCACCGTCTGTGCCTGTGGGCTTCTGCCCACAAAGACGGGATCAACGGTGCCACGGCCTTTCCTCGGGCGGTCACTGCACTCTGAACACACACTGGTGGGGAGGGAGCTGCACTGGGGCAGCTGTGGGGCAGCCTGACCACTGCCTCCCGCCCTTGCCCCTGGGGCCGTGCCAGGAGGTGACCCTGGCTGGCGGCTGGCGCTGTAGCTTTGCCTTCTGCGGGTCTGTTAGGAAAGCCCAGCTCCTCATAGACCGAGAGCAGAAAGAACATTCTTCAGCCACTCACGCCCACCTGCGCAGCTCTCTGAGACTCTGCGCGCGTTCATCAGGTGCTGCTAAATTGGCTCTTACACGTTTTTGGTGACTTGCTAAAATCACGTTTTTTTCTTTGTTTCTATAACAAAAATCACCGTTTTTGCCGTCAGCACGAATCTGAGATTCTTCCATTCCCAAACCCAGAGAGGAACTTTGTCCTTCCGGAAGAAATCATCCATGAAGTCCGAGAAGGTGAGGCTCCAGTGGGTTGGGTCTGGTTGGGGAGTTACAAGGCAGGATGTGGGCCAAGGGCGGTGGTGTCAGGGTGAAGGTCATGAGCCTCAGGGAGGAGGTGAGGGTCGCTGGCGTGGAGATTCTTGGCCCAGGTGGACTGGGGGGGGGGGCTGGGGAGCCTCGGGGACTGGAGGGAACTTGTTCAAGAACAATCGGCTCTCTTTAAAAGCGGCCTGGCGGCAGCTGAGAACCACACACACAGCCGTCCCCGGCCTGAGCCATCCGCAGCATTGGGCAGGGCCACGTCTCCCACCGTTTTGGTAAACGTCAGCTGTCGCCCCACAGGAAAAGTGGTCATTGAAGAGGAAATGAAGGAGGAAATGAAGGAAGATGTGGACCCCCACAACGGGGCAGACGATGGTGAGTGGGGGGCACCCCTGACGCCTGGGCCCTGCGTGCAGCCCCACATCCCCAGCCTGGGTGTCCAGTTGGCTTGCGGCCAGAGCTGCCCTGTCCACTCCTCCACTCGCTTGGGCGGGAGCCTCACATGGCGGCCCACACCACGAATAAGCCCCAGGGTGGCCTCGGGTCCAGCACCAGTCAGGTGGATGGAAAGCGTGCATTGCGAGCACAGGCCCAGCTCCGCGAGGCAGGAATAGCGGGTGGACGGGCAGGGTCCTGCGGCCTAAGGTCACAGGGGTCACATCCTCAGGAGGACCCGGCTCTCTGCAGGCCCCACGGCAGCCCCAGCTCAGAGTGGCCTGTGTGTAGGTGCAGGTTTCCATAACTTAGCGGGAAGACGAAATAAAATTCTGGATATTCTGTTTTCAACCAAATGATTTTGTCTCCCAGTTTTTTCATCTTCAGGAAGCTTGGGGAAAGCAACAGAAAAGTCCAGCAAAGACAAGAACCCTTCGGACTTGGGGTCGAAGGAAGGGGCAGACAAGCGGAAGCGCAGCCGGGTCACCGACAAAGTCCTGACGGCAAACAGCAACCCCTCCAGTCCCAGCGCTGCCAAGCGGCGCCGAACGTAGTCGTGGCTCGGCCATGGCAGGTGGCCCGGGGCACCACTGTCACCCAGCTGGACACCCGCCACCTGCCCTCAGGCCCACTGCGACCACCTGCGGCTCCGGGGGCCAGCTCAGGTGCGGAGAGCCGTGAGTCAGGCGTCCAGGGCCCCCCCCCACCCCACGCCACCGGGTGAGCTCCAGCCATGCTGGCCGCCGGCCGTGCCGTGGTCCGGGCTCCACAGAGCAGAGCGCGGGGCTCGGGCAGGACAGCTGGAGTGGCAGGCAGGGTGCCTGCTGTGTCCCTGGGGAACGCTGGTCTTGCTGGGCAACTCGGCTCTTCCCATCTGCCTGTGTGTCCGTCAGCCACTCTTCCTAAACCGGCAGCCCCCTCGGGAGAAAGAGACTCAGGCCACCTGCCTTCCGGCGCCTGCGCCAGAGAAATCGAGAACTGGATATTTTGCCTCATTCACTTGTACTGTAACGATGTATATAATTTGGTGGTATTTCACTATTTAATTTTTAAGAAGCCTATTTTACTAGTATTTTATATGAAAAAAATATTGAAGTTAAACCTGTGTTGTATTTTTCCTGAGATGCTTTGTGTTAGGTAGTGATTACTGACGCTTTCTGCTCGGTTTTTATATGCCGGAAACAGAGTTTGTAGGGCTATTTTTCTATCTCCCTGTAACTTGTAAACAGACCAAATGAGTGCGTGGAGGGAGGTGCACGGCCAGGGCGACAGATGCTTTCGTTTGAGCGCCAACCATTAAAGCACAAAAGAAGCAGCCCGAGTCTTGTGATTTTGATGCCAAAATAAGTTCCCTTTTCTAACAGTAGGAAGTGTTTATTTTCCCAAGGCTTATAATGCAGCCTACCCTCTCCAACGTCTTAGTATTCACTGGATTCGATGTATTTACCAACTAGAAACAGGACTAGAGTGGAAACTTTGTTGAGTGTGACAAGTCCTTCAAATACGGTAAACAAGGCAGAGCTGGTGGCTGGTGGAGCTGGGACGTCCGGGGGGCTCATCCTCAGGCAACGTGAGACTCCGGGCTGAGTCTGTTCTCCACAGAGGAAGGTACAGCCCTCCAGGCAGAGCGAGAAGGAGATGCCCTCCCTCCTGGTCAGCCACCGCGTCCCAGGCTCTTCATCTGGACAAGTCACCTGGAAGCTGAATTCCCATGCACCCAGCTGAGCCTCTCCCACCATCTTGGAGCAGGAGGCCGGCCCCGCGGTACAGCCGGCCAGGCGAGGGCACAAATCTCGTGCACAGCAAGTGGCCCAGCCTGGTCAGAGACTGGCCTGCACCAAGCCTGCCGTCACTTGCGGGGCCTTGAACACATTGCTGGTGCCCCTTCTCCCCAGCAGGGCCCAGCCCCCGAGCACAGAAAGAGCATCTTGTGTCCGGGCTGCTGAACCTGAGCACCCGGGTCCCCGCCCGGCTGCCCTGTGCCGGAACCGGGAGCAGAAGCTTGGTGCAGGTCGACCCACTGCTGGGGAGCTTGGTGGCCAGGCCTCCAGCACGGGCTTTACCTGAGCAGGAACCTGGTCAGCACCCAGGATGGAGTCCAAGGCTGCGGCTTTCCCACGCAGTCCTGCCAGGGGCGTTTCTTCCGAGTTCTGAGAGGCAGTGCCATGAGACCTGCTGCTGTCCCAGCACAGCAGACGCCGTCCTCACCCCCAAATGCCCAGGTGGGATGGTCACTGCTCGCCACAGAGCAGGGAACGCACCCCGCATGTGTCTGAGGGGGAAGAGGGAGCAGAGGTCTGCATTATAGCGAGCTCAGTGCCCTGCAGCCCTCCCACGGTGCCTGCTCTGGGTCAGGTCCTGCGGCTGAGGCTGTGATGCCCATGAGAAGCCCAGTCCCTCGAGGGGGCTGCAGGGAAATGGGGCAAACAGCTCTGCGGTCGCAAACGGTGCCAACAAAGATGGGGGGTCTTCCCCAGCCTTGCTGGTAAACCCCCATCCGAAACAGTATCTTCAAGGCCCTCAACATGCTGGAAAAGCCTAGTGCTGCATTCGGTGAGTTAACATCTGCTGCGTGCCTAAGAGAGGTGGGAGGAGGTGCGTGCCGGGCGAGCCCATCAACGCAGAAGGGCAGGTGCTTCACCGCCCCCCCACCTCAGGCATCTTTTTGGGGCCCAGTCCCCATGCCCTTGTGCCTGTGGGGGCTGCAGTCCTCAGCAGGGGTGAGGCCAGCCCAAGCGTCCCTGGCCTGGCGGGCACAGGTGTCCGAGCCCTGCCCAGCTCTCACCACCCGGGCTTTCCTGCCCTGCAGCCAGTTCAGGTCAAATTCACAGGTGTCTGGAGCACTGAACCTCTCCCGGCCTAGGGGTCCTATCTGTGACCAGGGGGTCTCATGTGTGCCCCCCTCACATAAGTAGGAGGTGTCTGAAAGAGGCTGGGAGCTGGGATGAGGTGGCCGCAGAATAAAGGGAAACCACAGTCAGTTGTTCCAAGCACCGCTGACCTTAGCCCAGGAACCTCCACAGAGGCTCTGTGTGTGGGAAGCGTGGGACCCAGCACCCTCCCTGCAAGAGGGCGGCGGGGTGGGGGTGGGGCAGGTAGGTGTGGCCTCAGCGCTCCCTGCTCTGGCCCAGCCCAGGTCCCCCCAAGGTTGATGCAGGAGGAGAGTGGGCTCCCAAGTACATACATACTGAGCAGCAATGGGGTGCAGCAGGGTTCCCTCGGGGCTGGTTGGGTGGGGCTGGGGCTTTGGCCTAATAACATGGCTGCAACTGGTTTTGCCTGAGGAAAATGTTAAGGCGGGTCTAACCTGAGCCCTGAGCCCGAATCTGCTGAACAACTGCAAGACCCCTCAGTGAGGAGCAAGGCTACCCTCGAGCACAACACCTACTGCTAGTGCACAGAGGAGGTGCAGGAGTGCATGTGTGTGCGCGCGCCTGTGGGCATGGCGTCCTAGGCAGCAATGGGGACAGGCGTTCCTCTCAGCCCCCTTGCCCACCCCCTGGCCCAGCCTGGGCAGCAAGCTGTCTAGAGCTCTGAGCCCACCACGGCATCCCCAGGCTGTGGAGGGGAGCAAACTGTCTTCAGCACAAGACTGGGGCTCCAGCTTCTTCCTGCAGCAGAATCTAGGCTCCCAGATTAACACGCCCTGAGATGAGCCCCCTGCAAACAGTACACAAAGCAACTAAAGATGCAATTGGGTGTGAGTTACTTGTAAAGCAGAAACGGGGCAATGTCTTAAGAGCAACTGTTTTGGGAAAGTCTGTGGTCTTGGCCCTGGTCGGGGGCAGCTCAGTGCTGCTCTGAGCATGGGCTGGGACTACAAAGCAAGATGCCACTGCACAACACGCTTCAGAAGAGAGGCACAGCCTCCCTCTCAGAGCAGCCAAACCTTGTACTGCCATCCCCAACACACGGACCCCACCATCAGAGGCTCCTGGGGTCATCTACCTGAAAGTCATAGCCAGGGTCTCCAGGGCCAGCTGTAAGTCAGACAACCAGAAGGCCAGGCCTGTGTCGGCAATCTGCGTTGGGCTGGCCTCGCCAGATGTGCCTGGGCTGCCTGCTCCCCCTGAAACCTGCCCTGGCCATTGGCGGCCAACCGTTTGCAGAAATGCCCAGATGGGGGCGCCTGGGTGTCTCAGTCGGTTAAGCGTTGGACTCTTGGTTTGGGCTCAGGTGGTGATCTCAGGGTCCTGAGATAATAGGGCCTTATGCTCAGTGTGGAGTCCGCTTGGGTCTCTCTCTCCCTCTCACTCTGCCTCTCCCCCTGCTTGTGCGCTTGCTCTCTCTTTCTCTCTCTGACAAGTAAATAAAATCTTTTAAAAAAATAAAAAAGAGAGAGAGAAAGAAAGAAAGAAAAAGAAAGAAA